ACTTTTAAAGAAGCACAAAAAGATGGCAGTAGAATGAGGTATGAGTCTTAAACACTTCATGTCTTGCTGTGAGGAGAAGCCAGGAGAAATAGAATAACTAGACTCCCTCTCCACATATGCCTAAGCAACCCAGACCTCTGCAAGTCATATTGCTGAAGGTGCAGGTGCTTTGTAGTGACATGCTGTGGTCCATAACTATCTGTTTACTCTGAGAGAGTAGAAACAAGGAAAAGGAGGGTGTCCTTTAGGTAAAAGTGGGAGTATGGAAATTGCAAAGGGGAGATTTTTGGAATCATTCTGCCTGACATAAAATTATGGAGAAAAATATTTCATCAATGGCAATGCTATCATTATAATCAAAAAGGGAGAAATGAAAGAGCAGGATTCTATCTATGGCAAAAGAAAGAAAAGTAATATTCACTGGATAATAGGAGCAGAAAAATAAGTTGAAGAAATGATAATAGAAATCAAAAGGCTTTGTCAACAGAATACTAATGGCAAAGGGAAGTGCTGACAATTTAGCTTAAATTTAACACTGTAGCTATAATGCGTGAGGGTTACTTTTTTTAAAGAAATTCAGTGTTTAGCCTCTCTCACTTAGACCTCCAAAGAAATGGGCAGGTTTTCAGAAGGATATATCTCCTACTGAGATGCTTCAATTTAAAAGCGGCTTCATTCCCAAAAGCATTCTGCAGCTCACAGCACCCACTGGAAGCAAAGGTGCACTGAGTGTATCCTTGAGCAAGTTCCAAAATAAACAATGCTGCCCCTGAAAATCCAAAGGAGAAATGAGCGTGACTGAGACAGAGGACACATTAAGCTCCTTTTAAACGTTTAAAAATCCAAACGTTTTTGAATATGTGTTGAAGGAAACCAGTTCTTGAAGAAGAGGCCAAATGCAGACCTCAGATCTGGATCAGAGATATTAAAATGAGAAACTGAAAGTAAGATCATCAAATTCTACCAGATGCAGCTAAGAAATATTTAGTAGTTTTATATGAGAAGACTTGATCTCCACATTACAGAAGTTTTTTTTACTAACAGACTAGGCAAGCATTTGTCAGAAATTGCATGGATACATGCGATGCAGCCCAGGAAAAGCAGTATAGATTACATGATAATTCTGAGATACCTTTCCTAAATGTTGCTCTGTAATATATATATTATTTCATCTTAAATCTATTTGAACAATATTTAGATATAGAGCAAAGGAAAACTGACCGTATTCTGAAATTGTAAACCCTTCCTAAAGAGTATTCTTTTATGTAAGGGGCCTAAAAGCAGAAGCAGAAGAAACTTTCCATCATTTCCAAAGCTAACATCTCCAGCTCTTGAGTTTGAAAAGACCTTAGAAATTTCAAGTAATTTTAATAATATTACCAAGAGGCCACTAACAAAGTAAAGCATTTCAATTGGCTAGATTGATCTTCTTCTCCAGTTTACAAAAGATTTCCAAGCACTGATCTTTGTTATTTCATATATCTGGTGTAGAACAGAGAGGACTTAGAGTGATCGGACTTTTGAGGAATCTCTGGAAATGGATTTGACCGTCTAAAATTAAGCAGTCTCTAACAGCTAACTGTGACTGGGAACAGTCTTAGCAGACAATGAAGCTGGTAAGTGAGGTGGGCAAAGGAGACAGTCTCAACTAGCTTCTGCCGTGCATCCATAGAAAGGACATACGCTGTTGTACACCACTGCTGCTAGCAGCTCCTGCGTTAATATCCACAGGGCTGTGAGTGTGGCCAGGCAGGGTCTGGGGACAACGGCCCTTAATATTTGCCTTTCAGAGGCCCTGGGCTCCTCAAACTCCTGCAGACTAAGCCTGAACAATATGACAATGTGATGATGAGTTCCTCTAGCTTTGGGAAAATTAATGAGGTCTATTCACAATATGTGTTCCTCTTCTCCCTTAAAAACACAGCTTAAATAATGCAAGAGCCTTCAGCTGACTTCCTCCACAGGGGCCCAAGAGAACGGTTTGTGGTAACAGGCATTTTCTCTAAGGGAGGCCAAGACAAAAAAACACAAACCAGACCCTAACACATTCAAAAGAAAAGAAGAAGCTGTGATGTTTAATAATTAAATGCAATGTTGAATGTTTAAAGACTGAAATGTTTTTTTGTGGTCGTTCATGCCACACTACGGGAGCATCAAAATCTGTGCAGTCTCTGAGCTGGTCCCTGTCACCTGCACTGCCCCAGATTCTTTCACTTTTGCTTTAAGTAAGACAGGTATCTCTAGAAATGGGTGATATGTGCCAGCTAGGAAGGTAAAATTCATGTATCTATTTCTATTTATTTCACAGGCCATTGATGCTGGCAGGGCATGCACTTCTCACAGAAGATGGCAATGCTGAGCTGAGCAAAATAAACACCACTTTCCTACGTGATCACAAAATGAGGAACAGAGATGAAGAAAACAGGAAATGCATACTAGTAGAGAGCAAAAAGTGAAGTAAGAGACTAATGAAAAGAAAGAAGCTTTTACTGTGAAGAAAGTCACTGACTGCCCCAGGTCACCTTGCGCATTGTTCTTCAGTGAAGCTCTGCTAAACCTCTTGTCATTTGGCTGTGAGATCTCCCTGAACGTCACTGTCCATAGAAACCCGTGCAGCTCTGAAAGAACAGGGCCATTTGGATAACAGCACTATGTCTGCTGTTCTAAATAGTGATGACGGCTGCCTTTGTGGGATGTCACGATGGTTGTTGACAGCTAGCTCTACTGGTCCTTCAGATGCTTTCCCCCAATTCAGAAGATGAAAATTATGTTGTAACCCTTTCGTACGGGACGTGCTTGATAAGGAAGTGGAAAAACATAGTAAGAGAAAAGTAACATTATTACACAGCCCATTAATCCAGTCAAACATCTCTCTATTCTCTTCTTCTCTGGACTTTTCCAGGACCAAGTCACCACTGGAATAGCAGAACATGGTGGGAACATATTTGCAACATGTTGGCAGACTCCATCCAAAAATCACTATCACTTACCTCTAGTACCACTAGGCATGTTTTCACATATTATAAAAATGCAGCTAACACTTTATGTAAGTTTAAAGTCCTCCTGAACATTACTACTATTAACATTCCTAGATTTAGTGAAGCACTTGAGCCAAATGCCTGGTTAAAATACTGATTCCCATTAGGAGGTCTGTCATTGACTTAGGTGGAGACAGGGTTTAACAGTGATCTTGAAGGAATTTTTTTTCAATCCCATTTATATCTCACCATAGTGGATGGCATTCATGCGTTTAACCTAAATACTTGCTGCATTAAGGATTTATGTTATAAGCTCTTTGGAGGCTATGTATCTGAACTACAGAACAGAGATATGCTAATAATTGTAACCCACATATGCTACTACTTTTTGATTGTTTTTCTAGAAAATCACCAATATTTCTGGTGCTATTGTTTTATTGAGTTCCTGTCACATTTCACCATTTGATTTATACTAGTTACCTCTGCAAAACTTCTAAGACAAAATACCAAATCCAGCTATACTTTAAACAAAGTTTATGTAAGTCCCCTAGGATTAATTACCGAGCTCAGAGTACAATTTATTAAGTAATTAACTAAAATTTGATAATAGCTGATGAATTTTATCTTTTGAAATGAAAGGACATAACCCTTAGCTCTGGTCCTAGGGTAAGTGTTAGTGAAACTTTAAGGTTTACACGGCCTATTTTAGGGATTTTTAGGTCCAGTTCTGACGCACATTGTCAGTTCACTTTGTCTCTACCTGTATTTTCTCAGATGCTAACACTTTTTGTGGCCAAATTCAACAAGTGGATCATACCTAATTTCTTCATGGTTCATTGGTTTGGATCTTTTCAGGCTATTAAAAATCTCTTAATGACTTTTCACCTGCTACACTGAATGTTAAAAATAAAGCCAAGCGAAATATTTAACTTGAAATTCTTAACATGGTCTGCTAGTTCCATATAGCTCAGGCTCTCTAGACTTGCACAAGTTTTCTGGAAGAGCCATCATATTTAGTGGCTCATTTCTTTCTTTCTCTCCTTCTTTCCACTAGTAATCCACTAGCTCACAGAAACTGAGTCTTGTGAGTGTGCATCATAGATCACGTATTTTAGACTCCTCACAGACCTGCTACGTTCTCCATTACCATGTATTCTATGGCCTCCTACAGTCTCTTCCACTGGGGCTCACATGTCCCAACTACATGCCCTGGAAAAGGTCGGCTAATGTAAATATTACTAAATGTACTGAAGAGGAAATAAGATCTGCTCTCTGTTTCCTCTCCTTCTCAAGGACTGGGAAGCATGTTTCCAGACACATCTCCCTTTCACAAGAAACCTGTTCACCAGGGTGTGAGCACTTCAAGAGCAATAAGGAGGCAGCACTACGTTAAGGAATTACGTAGTCCTTAAGGAGTCTGCTACTACTCTTCTCTGAGTTATTCTCTTAGAGGGCAAGGGAAGCCGTCAGAGGTTTTCTGATTTACGGCTATTCAATGCTTTTAGCAGGGAAATGGAGGGCAGTTCAATGCTCCTCGTGCAGGAGCTGTTCCGTGTCCTCGGAGCTCCAAGCTAACATCTGTACTGTTTGCCACAGAAGCAGTCCTAAGGACAGTAGCTGGGAAGAGATTCACTTAGGTCCCTCTGAGAGCAGTTCCTCCTTCCTCCCCCACCCCTCCACTGCGCGGCTTTTATTTCACACCAGGTATAAATGACTACTGCCCAGTATAGATACAACTCAAAGAGCAAGCACAGACCAGGGTTTTATACCTTCCATGCCTCAGAGTAACAAAGCTGCTCCATGGATTCAGTGCATTCCTGGGGGTCTAACGCAGGAAAAAAGGGGCTGTGCTGTATTGTCTCTGTATTGCACTGCCTCTTTAAAATTAGAAATGCATGGACAAGCTTCAAGGTGCCTCCCACTGAGAAAAGGCTTTAGATGCATGCAGACAGACAGCAGAGCCGTCATCCCCCCTGACCTGCAGGGCAAAATTGCTTGGGAGAGAAATGATCTAAGCTAAGTCCTTCGGCTGCTGCTTTTTTAGCGATCTTTTCTGTGCTCCTATGACAGCAGCACTTTCACAAGGAAGAAACCTGGAGACTATCCCCAGAGTGCCAGAGACCTAAAAGAAGATGAGGGCAATGGCAGGTACAGTTAGCTGGTGGCGTTATGTCAGTTTGCGGGTTTGTGTGTTGCCTTTATTTATATTAAAGATCTGCTATTTTGCAGGAAAGCCCATTTGAAACAGATATTGTTCCTTGCTTTGGGAAGAGTGTGGTTCCAACACACAGATTTTGCATCCAAATATTTGTTTGGTTCCTTTCTTAAATGAACATTCACATTTCCAGGCAGCTGTGGAAATGCCTTAAAAAGCAGTGAATTGTTTGTACTATTATTCAGTTTCAGGCTTGTCTTTCTGTTACTCTGTCACTCTGTAACTCTGTGTTTGAATAGCAATATGGAAACAAAAGTTGTACAGGAGAGTTTCTCTTGGAAATTTATGAAGTGTTGGTATACCAGGGGCTGAGGGTGGTTCCAGGGAAGGAAGGAGGATGACAGCTGTGTTCTGCGGATTGTCCTTTGTAGCTATGACGGACATTGCTTGATGGCATTTGACATTATGAAGAACTACTGCTTTAATGCAATGAAGCAGTAACTCCCCCAGATTCCCGCCTGAGATGGGTTGGGGCTGTCCTAATAGCTCGGAGTCTGTAGCTCTAAGTAGCCGAGGGTGTGAGAATTCCCCAGTGTGAAGTAGGAAGATGCAAGAAGACATTGCTGTCAGCATTTTGATAGAGCATAGAGACAAAATTAGGGGAATGGATTAGATTTTTCTTCTCAGTGTGGAAAACATATCTATATGTAATATGTTTAGTACAACTGGCAGCACAAAGAGGGGAGCCTGCTTCTCCCCTTCTTCTAAAAAATCAAGGCATTTTGTCTTGCTTAAGGAATATTTCCCTTTCCACCTCAAGAACTTGCTTGTGGAAGCACCCTCACTGTGAACAGCAGATTTGTCTTCACAGAAAAGCTCTACAAGCGACAAAATCCTGTCCAAGCAAATTGGCAGGGCTCCATTGGCTTGAGAGAAGCAATAATAGATTGTATTGGCTGAAAATTTGGTCCTCACACTCAATTAATGGTTGCCAAAAAGGAAAGTGCTGGCTGTGCTGTTTTCAGGGGTCTTGGCAACTCTTATTTAAGAAATGTATTTAGAAGCCAGGATTTCAGTTCTCCTTTTTTTTCTCTCTCTTTTTTTTAAATTTTTGCCTGTTTGAGACATCTACTGTAAAGCAAAAACTTTGTCCAAAAGGCACATCAGATAGTTTTCAGCAAAATGAGATGTCATCTTCTTTTAGTTTCTGCACCTTGCACAGGTATGACAGCATGGTCAGCTTGAAGGCTGGCTGGATTTTACACTCCTTCCATATTGTCATTTCACTCTGCACCAAAAACAAAATTTCAGCTTGGGTAAATAAAACTGCCAGGTGTAACTACTAGTGTATTGCGCGAGTGGAATTCCAGGGATTTCATGATAACCGAAGCATCCTTCTACAGCACACTTCTTCCTGCTGTTCACACTAAAGCATGTGGCAATAGAGTTGGGGGCAGGTGAAGGAATAATGTAGATATTGCTTTCCCTCAAACACAGTATTTTTGCTGTATTTTCCTCTCAGGAAATTTTTTCCTCTTTTTGTTTACTTAGAAGAAGAAAAATGAGGCTGATGTTCTACAGTCTCTTTGGAACAAAGACAAGGTAACTCATTACTCAGAAAACAAACTTTTGATGAGCTTTTCTGCCTGCCATCGTCCTACTCTGCTATCCTGGGTAATACTAACACGAAAGCCAAGGCCAGCTAAGACACCTGTGTCAAAAGAAGACAGATATCGCCATGGGGCAAGATGAACATAACCCAAATGCTACAGTCAAACTCAACTTTGCTGCAATCTATGATCTCCACAAAGGGGATTTCACCTCTTTCATAAACTTCACCATCCCTTTCAATTTCAATTACAGTGATTATGACCTGCCACTGGACAATGAAGATGACATGACCAAAACACGCACCTTCTTTGCAGCCAAGATTGTGATTGGGGTGGCTCTCGTTGGCATCATGCTGGTCTGTGGCATTGGCAACTTTATTTTCATTGCTGCTCTCGCCCGCTACAAGAAGCTACGGAACCTCACCAACCTGCTGATTGCCAACCTGGCGATCTCTGACTTCATTGTGGCCATTGTGTGCTGCCCCTTTGAGATGGACTACTACGTGGTGCGACAGCTGTCCTGGGAGCACGGCCATGTCCTCTGTGCCTCAGTCAATTACCTACGGACTGTTTCCCTCTATGTTTCTACCAATGCTCTTTTGGCTATAGCTGTCGACAGGTAAGCAGGGGGCTATGACTGCAGATGGCCAGAGCTTTTGAGACTGGCCACCCAGGTTTCTAGCTTTTCAATAGGCTCAGCTGTTCTGTACAATCTGCTGATGTCATGGTAGGTATTCTGCAGATCGGGGTATCTTGTTTCATAACAATTTAATCATGTGAGGTCAGGAGAATCCTGGAGAAAACTCAGTAGAAATTTATTGATTAAACTTTTCAGGTGAAATAAAATGTTGATTTATTAAAAACTAATCTTTTTTCATAAAGCTATACCTGATTCAAGTGTAGGATGGGATTTATCAAATAGGGGAAAGAACAGAAAGAGCAATATATCAAGAATTGTCACTAGTCCAGAGATGAGGTTGTTAATTAGTGTTACATAATCCTGTTCCAAATGTCTCTAGGGAGCCCTTACCACTGGGCTACAGAGTTTTTCTTTCTCAGTCTCACCTTTTGTTTAAACAGTGGAATAAATATTCTTCAGAGAGCGAAACAGCTGACTGATGAAAACAATACTTGACTGGTGAGTTTCCTAACAGGGTTCCTGCCTTACTGGATATTTCTTTCACTCTCTAAGGTATTTTTCCCAGTTTTTGTTTTGAAGTGACAGAGAATAAAATATAAGATTTAAATCTAGCTTGCAAAATAATGTTCTTATTCTCTGTCTAGCCCTTCTGAGAAAATCCAACCATCATTAAATTAACTATTTGATAGCGTTGAGGTCTTAGCTGCATGCTCCAACTCAGAAGTGGATGCTCAGTGAACGTGCCCGCACTCTCTTAAACACTTAAAAGTTGTAAAAGTTGTTTTATATGTCTTTCTGAGGACAGCATGCCAGGGAAGACTCAAAGGTCATTTGTAGCCCCCATATTAATGATGCAACAGTGATGCTTGCATCTTCTGGAAAATGATACACCATCCTAGTTTAACAGAGGTTTTCCTACAGCCTATATAAGAGTGAACAGAACATACTGACACGCAGCTACTACACTACTTGCTTCATGCTGCAGTCCTGAGATATTTCTATGACTGTCTCTCACTCAAGGAATTTTAACAACATATTTAACTATATTCTTTCTTATGACTCATGTTCTCAGTCTTGTGCGCCACGGACTCTGAGGAACCCAGAAGCTGAGGACCAGCTTCAAGCTGACATAAGTTTCACACAGCTGACCCACAAAAAGACCCACAGAGTAAACTGTTTACAGAAAGATCATCCTGACAAGTCACCTTTTTTGTATGAACACCATATACACCTCTGTATGTCCTCTGCTTATAAATACTATATGATTTCTTTCAAGAAATTTTTACAGTTCATTGTATTAGCATTTTTGTTTCTTCCTCCTTTTTTTTTTTGTTCAGTTTCTCTCCTCTGCCTTTTTATGCTATACTCTGTGTCACTCATTTTTTGGAAACTGGTCCAAAAGACAGCTCAGAGTCAGTTTAGCCCTGCTAATGTTTCTAGAGATACAGCTGTGCAGCGTTGTTTCAGCTTTTATTAATGACAACCAAAGTCTGGAAAAATTCTGGAGAAGTTCAGAGATGTTTTGCCTGGTTAGAGGGGAAAGACAAATCCTTAACCAGTCTCCAGAAAAACAACCTTTGAACAGCATCCAAGGAGTCAGCCTTTAGCTTCTAAACACAATCATGTATACATTACTACTTTCTATTACTAATTTTTTCAACTTCAAAAAATGTTTTTGGAAAGCTCTTCTACTGCATCCCAGGTTGATGAAGTAACAGTGGTCATTGAGTCCTTATGCTTGCTAGGAAATCATGGATTTTCTAGTATATCTCCCTCTGCATCTTTAAAAATGACCCTGGAAATGATTAATCACAGAAGTTTGTTATTGTTTAAGGGAGGCTCTCTTCAGGTTTATTTGCTATCTTTACAAGGTCATGTGTTTGGGGTTTTTTGGGGGTATATAAGTTTTTTTTTCCTTTTTTACCTGCAACAATTAAGATTCCTGCAGTAAACCAAAAAACAAAATTTGCAACAGTTCAACAGCAACACGCGGGAATTCTGTTCATTGGAGAATGTGCATAAACATGTAGTTCTATGTGCAAGGTACAGGTACTTTTAAGGTATGGTTGTTTAACAAAATTACTATTGCAGAATAAGATCACCGGACAGAGTGTGCAGGCCATCATACCTGTGCTGCATGCTATTTTTGCAATAAAATCCTGGAAGTACATTTCTCCATCCCCAGGGTTTGTCAGACAAGAAAAGATTGCACATAATATAAAGTGCAGGAGGATGTAAATTTTCCATCACACCCCTTAGGCAATGCTACCCTCAAGCTAGCCTAAGTGGTCATAGGCAAATCCACTCAGCAAAAGACTATCCCTAGATTGTGTGGGACTGCCATGTTTTCTCTGGTCTTTCTCTCAGCCCCTTGTCGTAGACAAACAATGAACAAGCATAACTAAGGTACAGAGTGGCTTCATGATCTCTCTTTGTCCTGACCAGGTCTCTTGGGGCATAAGTGCAAATCTGAGCAGCCCACGTTTTTTAGTACATGCTTGGAGACACTCCTGGTACACAACAACTGCAAAACGACACCGCAGCAGCAGGAGTTACCACATCTGCACTGATAGCTTCGTCTACCAAGCACTCTTCAGTCACAGCTAACGAGATGTGCCGCACTGCCTTTTGTTTGTCGTATTTTGACTTGGTAGAGAGAGAGGAGCCTCACTCAGTTAACAATCAAATGTGCCATGAAGGCTGGCAACCCAGCTGCACTTCCTACTGGGTTGTGTCATGTGGGTAGTTGACTTTGATCTCTAAAAAGGAATGAGCTCCTACTGAAACTTTTCCCATATTTAGGTCATGTTAAAGGGCTCTTACCTGTGTGCAGCCCATATTATCACATTTTTTGTCAGGTAGGGCACCCTGTCCTCTTCCTGGCTATTTGCATGAAACATTTAGGAATTTTGAATATTTAAGGCCACATCTATACTAGTAAACAATGTGGGTGAGAGGAGAGGATCTGTAGAGCACAAGTTCATGCTGAAGGCCTTGCTGTAAACATTTTGGGGGTTTTAGCTTTAGCCCAGTACCATTGACTGAATGCCCACGGGCAATTGGTGTGTTTCAGATACCCTCTTGGAGCACACTTCTGACTCTACTGTAGAGACTTACCCCAGGCAATCAAATGTTCTGCCAAGCTGATAGGCATACTTATGAATGCACACACATACATGATCCCATAATCTTGTTTTCACAGGATGCAATCTAAAAACATTCATTTATCAGTTTCACAGTGAGGTTGAATAATTCTACAGTCCTTTAACATCTAGCCTGCGCGTCTAAGAGCGATGAACAGTTTTTGTGATTCTAAGACCTGGCTTATGAAAAGCTCCACTGACTTTCCATTTCATTTTAGAGTGTGAATATACTCTCTATATGCTGTCTACATATAAAATATGTACAGACAGAAAAGTGTCTGAATGCATGAGAAATTCCACTGTTTGAAACAACCGTTCATGTCAAACACGATAGTGCTGAGCACTCTGGAGTGTTTCTGATCAAAACCTACTCTTAGCAGAAATGCCCTAATCTTTCTGGTCAGACTGTACTTAAAAATAAGCTCTTCTCACATCTACAGCTTCACAAACAAACAGGTAAGCCATCCCAGACTAATTCCTTTTTAGGTGAAGAAAGAGCAATTGATTGATCTTGCAAGTAATGCCCTTCCATTTCTCCATACTTTTTCTCTGAAACACTACAGTGCATACACTGCAGTCACTAATAACAAGTGCAAACAGCTACACTCAAGATGTACAGGGTGACATAATACTCTAGATAGCTTATATAAAATAAATTAGCAATAGTCACATCAAGCGGATTGAACAAAAATTTGCATAAGCAAGAAATGAATATTGTAGTCCTTTGTTGGTAACTTGAAAACATGCTTGGCTGTAAGCGTTTATTAACCTCTGCTTCAGCTCTTTTCAGCTCATGGAATAAAAAGGAAGATAATGGAAACACTGTTATGCCCGTTCAACCTCTAGGTAAAAGCAACATATTCAAATATTTCTCTGCCTAGAGAAAATATATTCTCCTCCTTCTACATGTTTATCTTCTACCTGCACCTAACTAGGTGTGTATTGCTGTATGTTTCAAACTCTCACCTGAATATGTGCTGTCTACCTAAGAATTTCTAGATGCTCTATCACAGCATGTCCTGGATACTACATCATCTGCCTACTGTGCTAGCTACTGAAAACATATTTGTCAGTATTAGAAATATTCTCTTTGTCGGTATTAGAAATGTTCTCTTTCTCCTCTTCCACTCAGTCTACCCCTAACTCCCAAGCATGTGATCTGCATTAAAAAGAAAAAAATTGTGATACAAAATTAGGCTTTTTAAGTTTTGGTTTTGTTCTAATAACAGGCAGGAGTTTAAGACTGAGTTCTTAAAATCATCCTCAGGCACCCTAAAGTACATTTGGATTTTCAAATTGCTGAGTATGCTTTATCTTAACAGACACTTCAACCACTCACTCTGGAGCTTCTGTCTAGATTTATGAACTCGGCTGTAGGCTGCTTCTTTGGACTACATTGTTCTTAACTTTCTCTCTTAAATTAATTTGTTAGGCTCTGCCTTTAAGAATCACAGCAATTCCCTCCTGCCTAATCCTAATTCTGCCCACTGTATTTTGAAGTGTATCTGATTCATATTGTTTTCAGACTTAATTTTGAATGGATTTCTCTCTTCTAGGTACCTGGCCATTGTACACCCACTAAAACCACGCATGAATTATCAAACAGCAACCTTCTTAATTGCCTTGATCTGGATCGTCTCCATACTTGTAGCTATCCCATCTGCATACTTTGCTACTGAAACTGTATTATTCATAGTAAAAAAACAGGAGAAATTTTTCTGTGGCCAAATTTGGCCAGTTGACCAGCAGATGTATTACAAATCCTACTTCCTCTTCATCTTTGGCATTGAATTTGTTGCGCCTGTGATTACAATGACCTTATGTTATGCCAGGATCTCTCGAGAGCTTTGGTTTAAAACTGTGCCAGGATTTCAGACGGAACAGATCAGAAAGCGGCTTCGATGCAGAAGAAAAACCGTAATGGTACTTATGTGCATCCTAACTGCCTATGTTCTCTGCTGGGCACCTTTCTATGGTTTCACAATTGTCCGTGACTTTTTTCCCACAATCTTTGTGAAAGAGAAGCATTATCTTACAGCTTTTTACATAGTTGAATGCATTGCTATGAGTAACAGCATGATAAACACGATGTGTTTTGTAACTGTAAAAAATAACACAATGAAGTATTTCAAGAAGATCATGTTTCTCAGGTGGAGATCAACATATAAGGGAAACAAAACTAGCACAGATTTAGACCTCAGAACAAGTGCAATGCCAGTCACAGAAGAGGTAGACTGCATAAAACTGAAATAAGGCTTATGCAGTTCTAATTTCATATATTTTAGAGGGGTGTGGGGAAGAGGAAATAAGTAAATGCTGCCTCAGAAACTCCTCCCTTGTTCTATGGAAATTCCTACTTATGGTTAGAACCCTAGATAAGCAGCAAATTATGGATTTCCACCAGAGCTCTTCTCCTAGACTGCTGTATAATCCCATAAATCAGACTGATGCTGTGCCGCAGTTTGCCCATCTGTGAAATGGGGATGTAGATATTTGGTTTAGAGCTATTTAAGTTTTAAGGAGAAAAAAGTCTGTAAACACATTACAGCTTATTACAAAGATGGAATGGCTGGTTGTTAGTCCTACCAATGATGCCAACAACCTCTCTGTTTCTTCTGTTCTTAAGAGAAATTTCTTTGCCCTCTTTGAGTTTATCGTGGCACCCTATGGCCAGCTTCTGCCACCTTGTATCGCTGAGCACTTCATCATAGGACTTGTCCCATGTTTTTCGGTGGTATCCCTATAAGGTAATAGTCAGTCAGTGAGAAAAATTCACCCTTTTGTACCAAGCCTGGACATCTTATCAGATCTGTGTATATCTTTGAAAGAAAGTACAAGCAGGACCAAAACAATATAGAGATCTTAAGACGATGCCCTTCTTCAAGCAGTGGAGACTAGCTTTCAGCAAGTCTGTCACTAGTTGAGTTGACTAGCTCATCAACTGTTTAAATATGAAGCAACAAAGATGACTTCTGCATTGCCTCCTTCAGTGCTACTTTTACTATTCTGATTTTGTACAACTCTAGGATGAGTGTTTCTTGACTGATAATCATGACAAAACAGGTGACAGTAGCAGTAATATATTCTCATTTAAGCTACACATAAAATTTCATGGATTTTGGTGTATTAAAATCAAGGCTTTTCTATTGTGATGACAAATACTTCCTGTTTTAGTATGTGGTACACCTACTTTTGGAGTAAATGGCTTTTGTAAATAATTTGTCTATTTGTGACTATAAACTGAGCAGAAGGCCCAGCTAATAAAATAGTAAACATGGGAACTCAGTAGCAGCAGTCTGAATTATTTTTTGCATTTTTCCCTAACATGAATTATCCCACTCCTGATAGAAAAAGAAACCCGACCAATTAAATTTAATGGCAAAAGGATATTCAAATCCATGAATGTGCTCAGATCCTCTTGATGTTAGCTGCTCTTCAAGAATAAGTGTTGGAGAGGGCCTCAAACCTTTGCTCTCTTAGGCAAAACAAATACTGAAATCATTCTTTACAATTATATTTTTGAAGATTGAAAAGTACTAAATCCATTTGTTTCCCTATCTGTCAAAGAAATCTTAATGACCAGAGAGCTGCAGTATTACGTCATCAAGAAGCTTAGCTTTGTAAATTCTCCTGAAATCTCATGGTCTCCTGACACTACATGCCCATATTTACCTTTTGAAACCAGTAGTAATTATTGGGCATTAGCTAGTCATATTATCTGTTATAAGAGTGTCCTGATATTCGCTGCACCTGTCCTTCCTAGACTCTTCTTGGTGAAACAGAACCAAGTGATCTAGAATTCTGCATACCTGGGCATCCACATCAGGCTGAGCTATAAACCTCCCTCCCTCCAAACAATAAAATTCCAGGCCAAATTCAGGAGGAAAAGTTGCTCTCAAATTCTAATCACTTTCCTAGAAATCATTTTGAGTGCTCTGTTACTCCACAAGAGGAAATCACAGCAACTGGTAAGACACGAGAAAAGACTGCCTCACCTCATAGAGGTTTTTCCATCTGTATATAGAATATACACTATCTACATACTGTCTACATATGGTATATGTATCGTATGCATATTATATATGGAGAAGTCTAGCCTTGTCTTGCTTCTTCTAGCCTTTTCTGGCCAGGCTTTTCTACATGTTTACCTGGCTTTTCTCTATGTTCACAGAAGACATGCAGACACACCATTTCCAGACAAAGAAGCCTCACTTAGTGCCATATGGTTGTGGCTGCTCCATCTGTATGCAGAAAATATATAGATAGAATACATTCCAATTACATATAAATTCCATATACAAGCAAACAAAAAACTCTGTTCTTTACTGACCTAGCCTTCCATGTCTATATAGCAGTATTCACAAACCGTGCGTGTTCTCCATACAGACATAGAAAAGCTGCCACATCTCACTGAAGCTTTTCTGTGTGTATATAGAATATATATATCTAGTATATATTCCCTATACAGACAAAAAAATTAACTCACATCACTTAAATTGGCTGAAGCTTTTCTGTCTGAATAACATACATTAACTACGCTATACACATACAGAGAATATCCACTGCACCTCACCTCCTCTGGCTGCAGCTTTTCTTTCTGGATGTAGAATATATATACAGAACAGAAATTCTGCATACAAAGAAAGAAACCCCTACACACATTGCCACACTAGCCAAGGATTTCCTGACTATGCGCGAAATACGTAGGAGACTGCATATTTCACAAGCAGGCAGAAAAGCCTTCTTGCTTCAACACACCCACCCCAGGCTTTTCCCTCTTGACATGCAATATCTACACACAGGAAGCCTACAGGCAGAGAAAAAAACTTCGCCTCACCTCACTGAGGCTCTGTCATCTCTAGAGAGAATTTAAACACATGGCAGAGAAGCTACGCACAGGCAAGGATGTCTCACCTCACCTCCATGCTGCTTTGCTGCCTCCATGTGGAATACCTACAAGCACTCTACAGGCTGGAGATCCACATAAAACACTCTCCAGCACCAAGGCTTTCCTCCCCATAGAGAGGATGCAGGTAGAAACCTCAGTCAGCATTCCCGGAAAGAAACCTCAGTCAGCATTCCCGGAAAGCCCCTAGCACCTGTCCCTGTCCCTAGGCAGCACAGGGACAATATCAACAAACCTACATGAAATGCCCAGGCAGCAAGAGAGGAATCCTTCAAAAGAAGTGGGGGAAACTCAGGGGAAGCTTCTCAATTGCAGAATTCTTAGTAAACAGCAGAGAATCCTAGGAAAGGTTGAGGAGTGAGGATTTTGTAAAAATTAGGGCAAATTCCTAGAAAGTGCTGGGGGAAACAATCCAAAACACAGTGCAATAAATTACAAGAAAGCAATGGAGAGAAATTCACCCAGAAAGCAAAGGTGAAAAATCTCAAAAAGGAAATTCCAAAATGGAAAATGCTTCATAGAAAACAGTAGTGGACATTTCCTAGAAAGCAAGAGGAATTCCTGGAAAGAAATTGGAAGAAATTGCTTAGAAAGCAATACAGGAAACTTCCTGTGAAGCTGTATGTGGGAATTCCTAGAGAGCAATGGGAGAAAATTCCCAGAAAGAAATATGGGAAAATTCCAGGAAGCAACATGGCAAATTTCTAAGCATTGCTTTCTAGAAAATTCCCCAACTACTTGTTTGCAAGGAATTTTCCCCATTGCTGTTGAGAATATTTCCCCCATGCTTTCTTGGAAATTTTCCCTGGCTTCACAGAAATTTTTCCCCATTGCTTTGTAAAAAGAACCTCTTTTCATCAAGGAAATATCACTATTGCTTTTGAGGAAATTTCTCCTTGCTTTCAGGGAAATGTCATTGTTCCTTTCAGGGAAATTCCCCCTCTTGCTTTGGAGGAAAGCCACCCCCCCTCTTTCTAGGAAATTCCATCACAATTTTCCATGAATTTTACCCAGAACCTTCTAGGAAATCAAAGTATTGCTTTCAAGGAAATTCCCCCTTTGCATTCATTGACATGTCTGCCTAGCTCTTGAGGAATTTCTCCTCATGCTTTTTAGGAAAATCCTCAGTGACTTTCCAAGATATTTCACCCTTGCTTTATAGAAAATTCTTCATCTCTTGAGGAGATATCATTATTGACTTTGAAAAAAATCCCCTTTTTCTTTGGAGGGAATATTAACATTGATTCTGAAGAAATTTACCTCTTTGCCATTGGGGGGGGATATTTCGCTGTTTCTTTTGAGGAAACGTCATCACTTATTTTGAAGAATTCTTCTCCTCCCCTTTTCTTTAAAGGAATCTATGACATTGCTTCCAAGAAATTTTCAGTGTTGCTTTCAAGGTAATCTCCTTCTTGTTTTCCAGGAAACACCCCCTTTGCTTTCAGGGGATATTAATTCCCTTTGTTCCATTTGAGGAATTTCCAAAGATTCTTTCAAGAAAATTTCTCTGTTGCTTTCAAGGAATATTCACTGCCTTTTAGACGGAATTCTCATGTTGATGTCGTGGAGTTTCCCCCTTTGCCTTCAAGGAATCTGCCTTTTTCCTTTTGAGGAAATTCATGGTTGCTGTGGAAGAATTTGCCCCTTTGTTCTCAAGGAATTTCCCGTTTGCTTTCGAGGAATTTTCACCGTTTTTTTTTTTTTAGGTGGAATTTTGATGATGACATTGAGGAATTTCTCCCTCTCCTTTCAAGGAATTTCTGATACTTCTTTTGAGGAAGCTTCCCTTTTGTTTTCAAGGCTATTCCTTCATTCCACTTCAGGAAATTCCTTCTTTGCTTCTGAGGAATTTTCCATTTTTCTTTCAAGGAACTTACCTTTTGGCTTTCAAGAAAATGTTCATCTTGTTTCAATGAATTCCCCCTTCTTTTCAAGGAATTTCAAACTTGCTTTCCAGGATTCTCACCATTGCTTTATTCACAGTTGCTTTCATGGAAATTCCACTCTTGTGGAACAATTTCCTCCTTGGGGAGGTGGCAGATTTCTCCTTTTGTTTTCATGCAATTTTGACTATTTCTTAGATGGAATTTTTGTGCTGACATCAAGGAATTTCCTTTTGAGGAATTTAAATCTTTGCTTTCAAGAAAATGTCCCCATTCATTCCAGGAAATTTCGGTGCCGCTTTTGAGGAAATATACTCGTTGCTTTCAAGGAAATTCTACTTTGTTTTTGAAGAATTCTCCCCTTTGTTTTCAAGGAATTTCTTCTCTTTCTTTTGAGGAATTTTACCCTTCATTTTTGAGGAATTTTCACTGGATTTTTAAGATGGAATTTTCGTGTTGATATCAAGGATTTTCCCCCTTTGTTTTCGAGCAATGTCCAATTTTGCTTTTGAGAAATTTTCCCTTTTTTGATGAAGTTTTGGTTTTGATATCTGCAGATTTCCCCCTTTGCTTTCAAAGAAATATTCTCTGTGCTTTTGAGAAAACAACCCCGTTGCTGTCACAGAAATCCCACTGTTTATGTGGAAGTATTTCCCACTTTGTTTTTGAGGGATTTCCAACCCTGCTTTCAAAGAATTTTCATGTTGATGTCAAGAAACTCAGTGCAGGCCCGTACAAGCCTGTAGAGCCTGGAATGGGCCAATATAAGCCTGTAGAGACCAGCATAGGCCCTTCAGAAGTCCATAGTGTGTGGGCCCATACAAGCTTGTAGAGCCCAGCACAGGCCCATATGAGCCCTCAGAGCCCAGCATAGGCCTGTACAAGCCGGTAGAGTCTGGCACAGATCACTATGTGCTTGTAAAGCTCGGCATGGGCCAATACAGGCTTGTAGAGCCTGGCACTGGCCTGTACAGCTCCATAGACCCTGATACAGGCCTGTATGAGCCTGTAGAGCCCAGCATGGGCCCGTACGGGCTTGTGGAGCTCAGTATGAGCCCTTACAAGCCTCAGAGTTCTGAGGGTCCGAAGTTTAAATCCATTTGAAAATAATGCTTAAAAAGATGAGTTTTTTTGATTTTTTACTGTTTTGAACGGAGTAAATTTCCTACTCTTTAAATATTCATCAGTATTAAAATGATTTCTTTAAAAATATTTTATAACTTTGAAATCTGAAACTGCTGTTCTCAATACTCATTCTTTAAAAAAAGATATTTTTTAAATTCTTTACCATTTCTAAAGTTGAAATTTGCATTTATTTACATTTTTACAGTGGGACACAATTAAAAATTGAGAAAGCATTTTAATTTTGTATCCCGCTCTGCTTTCCAGGAATTTCTGCCGTG